GGAGGAGGAGGAGGAGGAGGAGGAGGAGGAGGAGGAGGAGGAGGAGGAGGAGGAGGAGGAGGGAGGAGGAGGAGGAGGAGGAGGAGGAGGAGGAGGAGGAGGAGGAGGAGCTGCTTCACCGCCGGGGGAGGATCGCCGATCCCTCGGCGATGCCTCGTCGATGCCTCGTCGATTCCGGGCCGAGGTCTCCCCCCTCGCGCCTCTCTCTCTCTCTCGCACCGCCACCAGCAGCAGGACCGGGAGGGCCGCGTGGCCTCCCCGATCGGGCGAAGAGAACTATGCACATGCACCGATCCTGGCAAGGCCCATCCTTGACCCCTGATCAGTGCATATGCCTTCCTGGCCAGGGTAGGAGGGCGTATGCACCGATCCTGGGCTCAGGATGGGCCTGGCCAGAATCGGTGTATGTGCATAGTTATTTTTCCTCTACCCGAGCTGCATGTCGGAGGTGCCTCGGGCAGAAGAGCAGCATCGCCACATCAAGAGAAGCCTCCTTCCCGGCTCCCTGCGATGGTTGCTGTTCTTCGTCCTGGGATCAGGCCGCTCCTTGGTTTGCACACCAGCACCGAGAGCAGGATCAGGGAGGTCTACGTTGACGCCCCGAGCAGGAGGTCGAAGATGCGGGGGACAAGGCGCCGAAGAGCAGCGGGATCACCCCACGAGAACCCTCCTCAGCTCATTGCGGTGACTGTTTCCTTCGTCCTTGGATCTGTCAGTGTGGGCATTTCATGAGCTGAGCAAATCAGATCCTGCACATCATTCTCGTCGTTTCCGTCGTCTTCAGCGTCATCGTCGTCATCGCCACTGCCGTTCTTGCCCACGGGCCCCACGCCGTGCCGCTTGCGTCGAGGAGCTCCCGGCAGGATATCTGGAGACGAGGAGGGCACGCCGTGGCAGGGGATCCGAAGGCACACGATGATCTGAAGGAACGGAGGGCACGGATCCTTGTCGCCGCGGGCCCGGCCAGGGCGACTCATCGCTTCCACGCCGTGGCCCCACACGGGCCTCCTCACCATGGGCTGGAGTTCGGAGGACGGGCGCGCTCCTGCTTCTGTGCAAGATAAGGGGTGAGGAGGATGCGTTCGAGATACCTTCTCGGGCATTCGTGAGGGCCCACTCGATGAAAAGGCAAAGGGTCTGCGCAAAGCTGCGGTCCTGTTCGGTGTGCCCGCAGCAGGCTAGCGTGATGTTTGGGGGGGGCTCTTGGAATCAGAAGGGCCGAAACAATGATACATCGGATGGTTTACCGATCGCACCAGCGATCCCACCCAGCCTTCTGGATGAAGCAGCGTGGTCCGGCTGGGGCTCCTGACAAGTCTTGGTAATCTTAAGTCGGGCCTGTCCCTCCACAGGAGGAATATTCAAAAATAGTAAAAAATAGCCTGGGGACTATGTTTTGCATATTTTTTGCATCTTTTGAGCATTGTTTGAATATTTGTTCGTCCAAAATCCCCGTGTAGGGGGACAGGCCCGACCTAATGATAATATTGCGGCACGTGAGCGTCGCCAGCGGCCCCACGCTGCATCGCGCGGCGTGGTATTCGTGGACACGTGGCCTCCCTGGAGGGTGCAGACGGGGTGCTGTTTGGACTCGTGGATCAAAGGGGGGGCCTTGACGAGGAGGGCTCAGTGTAGGTGGTCGTGGCAGTTGGAGGAGGAGGAGCGCGATGATGTGGTTGAGTGGCGGAGGAGGCGCAGGGGAAGGCGGGAGGCTGTGGCTAAGAGTTTGAGGGCGAGGATGCGGCAGGGGGGGGCGGGGCAGAGCAGAGGGTTGAAATGGCTCCTGCTCTGGGAAGGCGAGGTTGGATGCCAGATATGACAGGGTACAAGGAGACCCTCCAACCAGCCCCGAGGAGACCCTGGTCTGTGTGTTCGAGGCTGGCGCCGTGAGGACGTTCAACGTAATGTGCGAGCAGGCGCTGTCCGTTTTTGATCGCCTCTCACACGCATTGGGGCCGCCATGCGTTTCAAGTCGAGGCTGTCAGATGGGCCGAGGAGGAATGAGAAGGCAGACTGGGATGAGAAGCAGGACGAGAAGGTGGAGGAGAAGGAGGAGGAAGATGAGGAGGATGAGGATGATGCTGGGAAAGGGGGCCGCGGGGAGTGTTGGAAGGAAGAGGAAGAGCAGGTGTGGGAGGGGGCGGGGGGAGGAGGAGGAGGAGGAGGAGGAGGAGGAGGAGGAGGAGGAGGAGGAGGAGGAGGAGGTGGAGGAGGAGGAGGAGAAGAAGAAGGAGGTGTAGGTGGGACGGCTGGACGAGAGGAAGAAGCATACTGATCTGGACGAGGCAGAGAAGGCGGAGGATGAGCACGAGGCTGAAGAGCGTGGCGGAGAGGGCGAGGGGGAGCCAGCACCCCACATGCACTGGCGTCGGCTCGAAGCATGTCGTCTCACGCGGGAACGAGGCTCACGCTCGTAGCTCTCCAGAGAGGTGCGCGCGCGTGTTGCTCTGCATCTTTCGCGCCACGTTCGCGGTCACGCACAGCGCGCTCGCGCGCGGTGTGCGATCCCGTTTCTTCAGATGATCCGGACCCTGCGGGTTCTCAGAGCCGCGCTTAGTCGTGGGAGGAAGAGCAGAAGGAGGAGCAGGGGGAGGGGGAGGGGATTGTGAGGGAAGGAATGCGTGGAGGGATGGTCGGAGGATGGGAGGGAAGAAGGGAGGAGGAGGAGGAGGAGGAGGAGGAGGAGGAGGAGGAGGAGGAGGAGGAGGAGGAGGAGGAGGAGGGAGGAGGGCAGAGAGAGAGAGGGAGAGAGAACAAAGAGAGAGAGAGAGAGAGAGAGGCAGAGGTGACCGCCGCGCGCGGCTGGGTTACGCATGACGCCGGGGGGCATCTGCCCCTGTGCCTTCCTCCCTCCCCCCCGCCCCCACACGTAGGGGCGAAGGTCACGGAGCAACAGGAGGAGGCGGATCAAGAAGCCAGGTGCTTTGTGTCGGAGTGCCCCAGGTTTCTTCGACTTCCAGCGGCCGTAGAAGAAGCTGCTGCGTTCCCGGTGCTCTGGGCCTCCCGTGGGCATCTCTCGCGCGGGTTTTCAGGGGTCGGGCTTCTCGCGGGGGTGTCTTGCGGCCGCGCCCGCCCTGCAACGGGATGAGGCAGATTTTGAGGAGGAGGATGAGGATGAGGATTAAGGAGGAGGAGGAGGAGGAGGAGGAGGAGGAGGAGGATGATAAGGATGAGGATGAGGAGGATGAGGAGGAGGAGGAGGAGAAGGAGGAGGGACCCTGCCTCGCCCTCTCCTCACCACCGCCCCTCCTCCCCTCCGCCCTCGGCCGCCTCCGCCGGCCGAACAGGCCCCCAGCTCGGGATATATATATATATATATATACAGAGAGAGAGAGAGAGATCCTCCCGTCGTCTGGGGAGAGGGGGACAGATCCTCCCGTCCTCCTCCGTCCTTCCCCCCTCCCCCGTCCCCGTCCCCCTTCAGCGTCCCAGCACAGGTCCTCCCCATCCCCCCTCCCCTCCCGACCTCCTCCTGGGCCCGCTCGCACCAGAACCTCGGGACGAGCCTGGGCCGCCCCGTCCTCACGTGTACCATCTTCTCCTCCGTCCTCCCCTGTCCTCCGCCACCTCCCGCCTGCCTTCTCCCATTCCCCACTCCCCTCCCGCCGCACCCGCTCCTGGGCCCGCGGGGCAGCATGCGGAGTCCGGGGCAGGGGGCAGGGAGGGAGACGGGAGTCGAGGGGAGGGAACCAGCGCCCCATGCCCCATGGTTGACGTTTGCGAAACACGGGCGTTTACCCCGCAGTTCCGCCCAGTTCGATTCCTTCGAAGGCGTGTTGGCCAAGGGTCTTCGCTCAGTTGTTGTTTCTTTTTTGTGTTTAAATATATAATAAGAAGGGTGTTGTGTTTCTGCTCTCTAGGGAGGACGAATAGGGGGGCAGGACGAATAGGGGGGAGGAGTGAATACGTGGAAGAGGGGGGAAGGATGGGAGGGAAGGGGGAATGGAAGGGAAGTTGGGAGGGGGGGGAGGACAGAGGTGGAGGAGAGGGTGGAGGAAGGGAGGACGAGGCAGGGAAGGGGCAGGGGGAGGAGCGAGGAGGTGGATGAGCTGCGTCTTCTGCGCCCTGCCGCCCCCCGACCGGGGCAGCTCGCGGATGCTGCGGCCAGGGTTGCCCTTCCCGGCCGTGCGGTGCCCTGGCAGTTGCCCCCCCTCGGCAGTCTGGCCCCGCGGGCTTTTTTTGGGGGGTACTGCTGCGCCCAGTTGCGCGCGGGCGAGACTCAAGCAGTGGCGAAGCGTCCTGGCTCGCCTATAGCCCTACCAAACAATGTTCTAAGAACCTGTTGTGGTTTCCACGAAATGTTCTTTAAACATTTCTGGCGGAGTCTGTCTTGTTTTATTACATCCGGCTTAGGTTCTACGAGCATTGTTTTTGTTCTTAGAACATTTGTGGGTTCTAAGAACATTTCGTGGTAGTACTATAGGAATGCTGGGACGGTCGTTCCCTGCTCAAGAGACAGCCAACGCGCTGGCCCACCCACCTCCTCCGTCCTCTTGCGTCCCTTCTCGTCCTCCTCCTGCTCCTCCTCCTCCTCCTCCTCCTCCGCCTCTCTCCGCCCTGCCCTCTCCTTCCTGGTCAACGAAAGGGGGGGGATAGGCACGGGGGGGGGACGCATCGCTCCCCAATCGCCCATTGATCGCCGCTAGGGGCCAGATAGCCCCACCCCGCCCAGGAAGGTGCGGATTCGCTATCGGGAGCCTGTCGTCGATCAATTTGCGATGTATCGCCGAGTCCAGGTCGATGATGCATCCCCCCTACACTTGTCCCCCCCCCTATCGTTGCCCCTTCACTCCTCCTCTCCGCCTCTCTCCTCCGCCTCTTTCCTCCTCCTCCTCCTCCTCTTCCTCCTCTCCTCGCCTCCACTTCGGCCGCGCAGCTGCACTCGTTCACCGTGGACGACCGCATCAAGGGCCCGCCGCGCCTCTTTGCTGCTTGCCGCGAACTGCCCGCCCTCCTCCTCCTCCTCCTTCTTTTCCTTCTCCTCCTCCTCCTCCTGTGCTTGCTACTACTATTGCTACGACTACTACGACTACTACGACTACTTCTACTCATACGACTACTACCACTACTACTACTGCTGCTGCTGCTACTACTACTACGACTACGACTACTACCACTACAACAACAACAACTAGTTCTACTACTACTACGACTACTACCACTACTACTACTACTACTACTACTACTACTACTACTACTACTACTACTACTACTACTACGACCACTGCTACTACTTCTACTACTACTACTACTACTACTACTACTACTACTACTACTACTACTACTACCACCACTACAACTGCTGCTGCTGCTGCTGCTGCTGCTGCTGCTGCTGCTGCTACTACTACTACTACAACGACTACTACTACTGCTGCTACTACTTCTACTATTTTTTCTACTTCTTGTACGACTACTACTACGACTACTTCTACTGCTCTACCACTACGACAAGAACGACGTCGACGACTACAACTACTACTCCTACTGCTATGACTATTACGATTACTACTACCACAACTGGTGCTAATACTACTACCATTACTCCTATCACCACTACTACGACTACTTCGGCGACTAGCACTACTTTTTTTGGTATTTTGTATCCTAATGGTACTCCCCCACGGCTCCTACTACTACGACTACCCCTATTACTACCACTTTTACTACTACTATCATTATTAGTATTACTCCTACTTCTTTTGTTCTTATTAGTTTAAGTTGTAGTAGTAATACTCCTAATATTTCTACTCCTACAATTTCTCCGAACACTTCTGCGACTAGTATTACTACAACGACGACTGCTACGACTACGACTAATACCGCTACTATTACTACTGCTGCTACTACTGCTGCTGCTACTTTCAGTGCCGTTGCCACCTTTACTATTACGCCCACTACTACTAATACAGCTGCGATTCCTACTACTGATACTACTCCTCGCATCACTACTACTACTACTACTACCACTACTACTACTACTACTACTACTACTACTACTACTACTACTACTACTACTAATATTACGACTACTAGTACTACTACTACTACTATTACTGTTATTACTACTACTACTACTACTACTACTACTACTACTACTACTACTACTACTACTAGTGCTAGTACTACGGCTACTACCTCTACCACTATTACCTCTATTAGTACTGCCTCGACCACTGCAAGTATTACCACTTCCACCACCCCCACCACCACTACTACTACTACTGCCCGACTACTGCTACTCCAACTGCTACTTCGAGTATTACTCGTACTACTACTTCTACTGGTGCCAGCACCAGTAATACAACTCCTCCTACTACTGCTACGATTTGTTCCACGAGTACCATTACTCCCATTACTCCTACTAATTCGCTTCTCTTCTACGACCACTAATGTTACCCATTGCTACCCATGACTACTTCGTACTACTCTTAATATCAGTACAACTCATTACTACTACTACTACTGCTACTACTACGACTATTATATTACTTCTACTATGTTTGTTCCTTCTACCACGGCTACTACAACTACTACTACTACGACTTCTTTCTGGACGCGGCTGCTACGAGTATTATCACTGCGACGCCGACTACTAGTCTGTTTAGTATATTACTATTACTTCTGCTGCTGCTACTACTCTTACTGCTATATTTGATTACCGCTCTTACTACTACCAGTATTACCACTACGACTACTACTGCGACTACGACTACTACGACTACTAGTACTACTACGACTACTACGACTACTACTACGGCTACCAGTTCTTCTACGATCACGACTTTTACGTATTGTTATTCCGATTACTACTACTACCACTACTACTACCAATACGACGTCTACGATGATTACGACTACTGCTACGACTACCCATATTATGATTACTACCACTCTGATTGCTATTCCTACAGCTGTCTCTACTGGTTCTGATACTACCACTGCAACTACTGGCGCTGATACGCGTACCACTGCCATTGCTAATACTACGACTGCTACTCAGGCTAGTCTTTCTAGTATCGCTACTCTGGTCACAACTACCACTATTTTATGTCACTGCGAATATTATTGCTATTGTTAGTATTATTCCTTACCACTATGATGTGTATTTTTAGCCCCACTACTACTACGACCACTACGCTTATTTTCCTTATGTGTTCGATTTCAGACCCTCCTAGTAATCTTACGACACTAACCGTGACTTTTCTATTCCCAGTAGGACTACGACTACTACGTGCCGTACCACTGCTACCATTTCCACGACTACGACTGCTATTGCTATTACTCCCACTGTTACAATTCATCTCACCTGAGTTATTTCTACGACAACGAATGCTACTACGATTGCAACTGCAGCTCTTATGTTTACCACTACTGGTACTCCATCTACCACTACTACCACTATCATTACTACTGCTCCCATACCACCGCTATTACTAATATTATAGGCTTCACCATTACTATTACTTTTACTACTACTGCGACGACGAGTATTAATACTGCTACGACTACTTGTGCTACGACTGCTACTACTATTACTACTACTACTACTACTACTACTACTACTACTACTACTACTACTACTACTACCTCTACTACGACTACTGCGATTACGACTGCGACTAGTACGCCGACGACTACTACTACGACTATTTCCACTACTCATATTACTACTGCTGTTACTACTACTGCTGTTACTACGACTACCACTACTACTACTATCACTACTACTACTACTACTACTACTACTACTACTACTTCTTCTACTACTGTTACTACTACTACTACTGCTGCTGCTACTGCTGCTTCTACTACTGCTACTACTACTACTACGACGATTACTACTACAACTACTACTGCTACTACTACTATCGGTATAGGCACATATTATGCAGCCGTTTTTCTTGTTCGTCTGGGAACGCACATGGGATAACCAAGTCGCGCGAGCACAGACAGCAAGGTAAATATGCTGAGTGGCGGCTGGTTGGTAAACAAGGGGTGACCAGCAAGCAGAACAAGTTGACGGGCCACGAGGGCACAGAGATGGGTGCGGCATCGCGCCGCTACAAGCACTGTGGACCGCCCATCTGCGTAACGAGAGAGGTAGTATCAGGAGAACCATGAGATACTCTCACCACATTTTTGCCGTCTCTTTCGTCCGTATCGCGTCCCTCTCTCTCTCTCGTTCTCCCTCTTTCTCTCTCCTTTTTTTTCTCCCCTCTCTCTCTCTCCTTTTCGCTCAATGTCTCCCTCCCTATATACAATGTGTATACATAATGTAAACAAATACGCATGGCCTCCTCCTGGGGCGTCCTCCACCTCGCTCACATCTCGTGCACGCTCCCTGTATCGCGCTTCCCAGCCTCCCGGGGAGCCCCCACATTGCCCAAAGACAGCCCAAGACTACCCCAAGAAACCTCCGCAACGTAAAAGAATTGCCCAAGACGCTCCCGAGCAACCCAGGATAGCTTTCGGGCGGCTATCCAGGTTCCCAGAAGGCCTCCAAGAGACTTCAAGAGAGCTCCGAGAGGCCTCCCAAAAGCGCCCGGAGAACCTAAGATCGTTACTTGTCATTGTTTTTGTCCATGGTTTTTGGCCTTTTCACCATGTCATGCTCCCAACGCTCCAAGACGGCCGAAGAGGCCCCCAAGACCGCCCAGGAGGCTCCCAAGACGGCCCCAAGACGGGCCAATGCGGCCCCAAGAATGCCGAAGAGGCACCCCGGACAGCTCCAGACCCCCCCAGAACAGGCCCAAGATAAGCCCGAGAGCGGGAGCAGGAGGCCGCCAGAGACCTCCGAGAGGACTCCGCGACCCCCCCAGAGGGCTCCGACACACCCCATGACCCTTGATAGGCCCCCATGAAGGGCTCCGACGATGCCCCCAAAGCAGTCCAAGAGAGCTTCGAGGGGAGGAGGAGGAGGAGGAGGAGGAGATCCCGAAGAGGGTACAAACCGTTGATTTGCAGTTGTTTTTGTAGACTGTGTTGCCTTCTCACGTTTTCCGGCTTCCAACGCTCCATGACCGAGGAGTTTGATTTCAAATTCAACATCTGCAGGGTGAAGCTTTTTTTGGGGGGGGGCTCGTTCTGTAAGGCTTCAGAACGGAGCGGCGGAGCGGGCCTGCCACAGCAGCTTGTCTCATCGATCGAATCCGAAACCCAAGCCCCGCCTCCGAGAATTTAGAAGCATCTTGCCTCGTGGATGTTCAAGCCGTCTCTGGTTTCGGGGGCGGCGCACCCTGTGTTTTATGTGACCGTTTCTTGTTGACTATGTAACGCAGATCCCCGGTGGCGTTGCGAGGGGGCGTCGTTGCAGGTCGACCAGATTGGGCGTCGGATGTAATGGCCGCCTCTGCGCGCATTCCCTTTCCGTTCCCACGCGGCGGAGGATCGTTGAATGTTTTTTCTGAGTTAAAATGACGGGCCAGGAGAAACAACAAAACGATCCAACAAAGAGTGCATCTGTATCAAATTTTCGCTCTGTCGGAAACAGTATTTGGTAAATTCCGTGGCGCTGTCGCACGATTCCGCCGCTACAGCGCTCGGGCGGGGGGGGGGGGCTGGCGCCAGGGGGGGCGGGAATGGTCCATTGAACGTCCCCCTCCCCAAGCTCGTCTTGGGGCACATTTTCGGTTGTGGGAGCCCGAAAGCGCAGGGACTCGGGCAAGCAGGGGAACGCATCTTGGGCTCGATGAAATGACCCTGCTTGCCTCCAGGGTGCCCTGGGTTTCTTGGGTTTCGAGGGTTCTCCCCTGGAGAGCGTGACGTTCCCACACCAAAGATGGATGGACGTCCTGGGGTCTCAGGGTTGGAGTTCCTGTGGAAGTTTCCTCGTGTAGTGGCCTCCACTGCATTGCTGCGCAAGGAGCGAGGGGGCCCGACACGCGCCCACCGTTGCATTCGCGGTGCGGCGGATATTTAGGACACATTGTTTTGTCTTTGTACTTATTTGCAGCCGTCACTGTTTGATAACATGCTTGTGCGTTGTTGCACGTACACTCTAGGCGATGCTTAAGAATACCCAAGTTTTCGGCCAGAGTCTCGATTATTCTTAATGTTTCAATGTAAATCCCACGATTTGAATAGACATTCTGGGTTTTTATTCAAATTCTGAGACTATGAATTTCTTAACCCATGATTTCTAAAGCATTTCGCAGGGTGTACTCATTGTCTCATGGTACATGTCTTCATCTTTGATTCAAAAGCAGTCAGTCTTCAGCTAGACGCCGCCGTTGGATCTGGGGACTTCGTCGCCGCGTCGGGGCTCGCGGCCACAATGGCAGTGGGCTGAACCAGGGAGGGGGCAAACAACGTACTCGGTGAGAGGGGTGCGAGGAAGCAATTGAAACCTCCACGCGCCTTCGCAGACGGGAGTGAATGCGCGGTCAGCGCGGGGTCATTGCATGCGTGTCCCACGCGAGAGTGCGGATCGAGACGTGCTCCTCCAAATGAGTTCCAGTTTGCTTTCAGGGGATAGGGCCGCCGATGTCGTTGGGTATTTACGCATGCTTTAAGAAGCAAGCATTCCTCTCGCAAGCCAGGGCCAAGCAAACCTCACAGCCGCCGTAGGGCCGCTCCGATGTAGTCTTGCCTGCATTCCAGAATTTGTCTTCAACGCTGCAAGTTTGCAAATCCGAATTTTCTTGTCAGCATTGGAGTTCTTTTCTGTGCGTTCCTTTGTTCGCTCAGCCACGCACCGCCCCTGTGAGAGATCGGGAATGGCGCCGAAATCAGGTTGAACATTTGGGCAGGGCGCGTGAATAAACCCCTGGGCGTCAGGGCTTGCACGTTGGATACAGCTGGGGGGTCTGCCGACCCCTGGTCAAGGGAGTCCTGAAACTGTGGCTCGCACAGCTCAATGATCCTCAAGACGTGTGTTAGCCCAATGTGTGTTTGCCACCTTCAGCCCAACCAGTTGATCATTACATCGCCGGCATCGTATGAAAGGGCCTCTTTGGACAAACGCACGTTGGGGCTAACACACGTTCTGAGGATCATCGATCTTAGCCTTTAAGACGGCCCCCCCTCCTGGCGCCTGATGTCACAGCCCCCACTTGCATGGGATATGAACGACGGAACCAAACACATTTCCCTCACAGCCATCGTCTATGACGCGACCCAAACGGCGTGAGGTCTGAGCCCCCCACAAAAGTGTCTGCGCGTTGTTTTTCAAATGTGCAACCGACTGATCGCATCCTTGCAGTTCATATGTAGAGATTCCGATCGGAATCATTTCAACTACCCTACATCGCCTTCATTCTGACTTCACGAACGCGAGCGCATTGGCATCCTGTTGTCCTCCGGAGAAGACCACCGCCGATAGTTGTTTATACATCCCACCGCGCACCACGAGCCAACGCGCGAGGCAAGTACATTCACGATTCGCCCATGCCGTGCGTTCCGCCGCGCGGTCTGCGCGCGCGTGGCAGGACACCTGCACGCGCGCTGACGCAGCGCTCGCGATGCCCGCCGCTCCCCGCAGGGGGGCGCGCGAAGGCGTTCCCGCCTGCGCGCTTGTCCAGCGCACCAAGCCTACCGCGCGCCGCCCGCGGCAGCGCGCGAGAGCTTCGTCGCGCGCGCGCGCGCCAGCCCAGCTCGTGACATTCCCGTCGCGCGGCGCGCGCGCGCGCCCCGCTCGCGACGCGCGCGCGCAGGAACGAGCGCGGCGCTCTTCTGCAGCTGGCGCCGCGCGCCGCGAAAGCGCGCGCGCGCGACGGCGGCGGCCAGCGTGCGCGCGCCCCCTGGGAGAGCGCGGGGCCCGTCGCGCGCCGCTGACACGCGCGCGCGCGCGCTTGCCCGGCGCGCGCGCGCGCGCTCCGCCGCGCGCAGCACTCGCGCGCGCGCGCTGAGCTCCGGCGCGCGCGCGCCGTTTGGGCGCGCGGAGCGCGCTACAAGGCACGGCTCGACAACGCCGCGCGGGAAAAAATTGCCCCGGGATCAACTTGCCAGCTGAATTTGCAAGGCAAGCGGCGCTTCTGCAATTTGTGTTGCACTTGTTGCCGCAGCGATGTGTCTTGTCTTGGATCTGTCGTCCGTTTTCTGTGTCGTCCGCCTTTTCTTGTGTTTTGTCGTCTCCGTTTTCCGATTTGTCGTCGAGGTTGTTGCTTTCGCCGTCGCCATATCTTCTTTGTCGCAGAGGTTGTTGTGGTTATGTCGTCGGTCTCTTGGGTGTCCTTCGCGTTTGGATGCAAAGTGTTTCTCTGCGTTCTCATTATATTTGGCGTCCTTCGCGGTCGGATCCGTTTTCTTGGCCATTGACGCTTTGCGCATACCTTCACCTTCGCCCAGACACGGTGCTCAGGCGAGTTGCAATGGCGAGGGGGGCGTAGCAGCATGCAGCGCAGCATCGCGGCGGAGAAACCGTCGAACCGAAGTTGCGTACCAGCCCTGGCAAACCCGGGAGTGAACTGCAAATCCCGTCACGGCCTTGTCGAGCGAGGGGAGGAGATGGAGGACGAGCATGAGGATGAAGCCAGAGGTAGGAAGGAGAGGAGGAAGAGGACAAGGAGGAGAAAGGAGGCAGGACGAGGAAGAACAGGATAATGAGTATAACCTGCGGTCCTCGTGGGAGTGATGTCGGGTCCCTTGTTGAGCTCCCTGGGGGCTCTTTTGGTTTGTCATGAGGATGTCTCGGGGCTCCTTTGCGGAGTCTCAAGGCCTTCTTGGGGCCCCTTTTGGGCTCTCTTGCGGCCGCGACCGCCACGAACCTTGAAGATCGATGCTGTGGCGCAGCACTCTGTGCGCGAATGCTAATGCAATGAGGCGTGCTGGCGCCGACGCGCATGCGTCGCGGCCATGCTCGCGCGCTCGCGGCAATATATACGCATCAAAAACAGCGCATAGTCTGTCCGCGTGGCGTGCGGTGCGTGACCAGCGTCGACACGAGAGCCATGATTCGGGATTGGCTGTGGTGCCGGAGTTGCACTACATTTGCGTATCGCCCAATGCACGTCGGCACGTTTCAGTTGAGAATTTCGGAAATGAGCTTAATTTATGTCCAACGGTTTGCTTGTGGATCCTGTCCTATAGGCATTGAGGAGGTGACTGGTGGCTTTTGTGCCATGGGTCGGCTTTCTGGCGCCCGTTCGGGACACTCCGGGCACCCCCAGAACGCTATCGGCGAGGTGCAGCTGCCGAGGCTGGAACACTACCGGGAACCGACGAGAACGTGTGAAAATCCCGAAGCTCGAATTTCTTATGATCTCCCCCCTTTCTGCTTCCCCCCTTTGGGGGCGCCCCTCAACATAGCAGGCGCTGGGCTCGCAGTTCTGAGGAGTGCGTACTCCCACCCCATCTCCCGCTCCCGCAGGCGAGGGCGGTGCCGTCCTGGCCACGCTTTGGTCGGCGGGCGTGGCGCTGCTCACCAAGAGGCCTTGGCGGCGGAAGAGGGCGGCGGAGGAGGGAGGAGGGAGGAGTGAGGAAGGCGGATGGGGAGCAGGAGAGGGTAGGATGGAGGGTGGTGGGTGTGGGAGGTTTCTTTCTTCTCTTCCTCCTCCTCTCTCGTCTTCCCCCTCCCCCTACTCCTCCTTGTCCTCCTCCTCCTCCTCTTCCCTTTTTCCTCCCCCTTCTCCTCCTCGTCCTCCTCCTCTTCCTCTTCACTTCCTTTCTCCTCCTCCTTTTCCTCCTCCTCCTCCCCCTCCTTTTCATTCTCCTCCTCCTCGTGCTGTTGCTGCTGCTGCTGCTGCTGCTCCTCCTCCTCCTTCCCCTCCGCCTAATCTGAAACGCGGGTGGCCCAAGGCGTCGGGCTATTTTGGTCTCGAACTTGGCGCTTGGAGGGCCCCCCCCCAAATAAGCACCCGTCATGCTCGTCGCATTTCTCAGTTGTTATTGGCGTGGGATAACTAGAATGAGCGAATTCACATATAATGCTCAGCAGGTCCATTTTGTTTGCGCAGGTCAGTGGCCAGCCGCATTGTCACAAAAGTATGAAGTTGCAGGAGGTTCGGTCTATCAACGTATGCGTTCACGATTGGTTCTTGAATGCGTTTCTCCCGAACATCTTGTTCAAGGTCTCATGGCAGGCAGGACTGTTAGTACGCTCATTTTTGGAGCGTGGGCCACGGATTTGGCAGCTTGGCACCTCGCACAGGTTGTTCTTTGTGCTTCGGTCGATTTGGGTTGGTCTGGTATTGGCTTCTCGTCGTGTCCTTCCTGTGCAAGTTCCGGCTTTACGCATCTACAGGGGGCGGCCTGTGGTATTGTAGTGCATTTCCGCGTGTTCAGTGCTCTGATGCTTAGGTTTGGCATTCTGTCACAGCCGCACGGGGATCTACTTCTTGTGCTCTTTTTGGGAGTGGAAGTTGGGGAAATGCATCATTCGTTTCAGCGCGGGCATCTCCAATTTCCGCTGGGGGAGGGTATTATAGTATGTTGTTTGGAGGCGTGGTACATTCTGTCGCTGGAAGCAATGGGCGTGCAAGGAAGCTGGCAGTTTTTCTCAGTGTACTTGGTCAACTGGTTTTGAACGCTTTCTGTACCGTGCACAGTTCCACGTCGTTCTATTGAGTTTGGTGGGATATGCGCTCGCTTGCGGTTTGGGTTGTGTTTTTCGCGATTTGGATGTGGCGCCGCGGTTTGCACCTGCCTAGGCTTTCTGCGTGGGTGTTTCGTTCGTGTGGTCATCTTCCCGTGCGGAAAGGTTCCGGGGACATGAGGTTATTCGTTTGATCAATAAGGTGAAGGCGTTTCCTACATTATCTCGTTCAAGTGGCTGTGCAGTGAAATGTCACGTGTCGCTGTCGGGGTGGTGTGTATTGCAGTCAAGTGGCCGCTACGGCTTCCACACTGGTGGCATGCAGTCTTCGTGTAGTTGTTCCTTCAGTTCGGGCGCTCCGTGTTCCTTCAGTTCGGGCGCTCCGGGGGCTCTCTCTCTGCTCGAGTGTATGTAATCGCCACGCCATGGCTGTAATCCCTGTTATCCTCCTCCACCTTCTCCTCCTCCTCCTCCTCCTCCTCCTCCTCCTCCCCCTCCTCCTCCTCCTCCCCCCTCCTCCTCTCCCCTCCTCCTCCTCCCTCCTCCTCCCTCCTCCTCCTCTCCTCCTCCTCCTCCTCCTCCTCCTCCTCCTCCTCCTCCTCCCCCTCCCCTCCGCCTCCCTCCGTCTCCTCCGTCTCCTCCGTCTCCTCCTCCTCCTCCTCCTCCTCCTCCTCCTCCTTCTCCTCCTCACCCCAGCCCTCCTCCTCCTCCTCCTCCCTCCTCCTCCTCCTCCTCCTCCTCCTCACCCCACCCTCCTCCTCCTCCTCCTCCTCCTCCTCCCTCCCCCTGTTCGAATTGCTGACGCCCTCCACCGATCCCCTGGTCCAGTGAGGGCTTGCGGCTTTCGCGGGTGTGCTCCTGTGGGGCCTGCGGCCCCGCCCGCCGCCGTGTTTGGGCTGTGGTCCCTGTTATCCTCCTCCACCTCCTCCTCCTCCTCCTCCTCCTCCTCCTCCTCCTCCTCCTCCTCCCTCCCCCTCCTCCTCCTCCTCCTCCTCCTCCTCCCCCTCCTCCTCCTCCTCCTCCTCCCCCTCCTCCCCCTCCTCCTCTCCCTCCTCCTCTTTTTCCTCCTCCTCCCTCCCCCTGTTCGTCGGGCCCGGCCGGAGGCCTCTTGGAGGGGGTTCCCGTGGCGCCTGCGTGGGCGCCCGGAGTGGGCCTCTTTTGAGGCCTCCCGGGTGGCATCGTGTGGGCGCCTTGGGGTCCTCTGGGGGGCGCTCGGGCTCCTCGGGGGGTGCTCGGAATGTCAGCTCGTCTTCCCCTCTCCGGCCCCCCCCCCCCCCACACGAAGTCTTCTTGGGCCTCGCCTGGGCCGTCTTGGGGGTCCTTTGGGCCGTCCTGGGGTCGTCCTGGGCCGTCCTGGAGCCTTCTCGGGGGCCTCGTGGGCTGGTCTGGGTCGACGCGTTGCGGGCCCGGGCCGTCTTGGACACCGCGGAGCGGAGACGGCGAGCAGGATAAGCAGGTGCATTGCCCGAAGGGGATGCGATGATGTTTGCCTCTTGGGACTCCCTGGGGGCACTCTTGACCCGTTTGTCGGGCCTCGAGGGCCGTTCAGAAACATCTGGCACCGTCGCGGCACTGTCTTTGGCCGTACCGACGCTCTCTTGGAGTATCTTGCCGCTCTGCTTGGGCCCTTTTGGGCCATCCTGGGATGATTAGGACGCCCCGGGGAAGCGTGGACGAACTCGAGGGCACAGGGGGTGCGTGGGGGGGGGTTCGAACGAGATTTTGGACCCCAGGGAGAGGGGAAAGGGGGGCGCGGGACGGCAAATCATCCCACAAGCCTTGTCGCCCCCAGCAAGCGGGGGTCGGCGGGTCGCCCACCTCGCTTCACCAGCCTCCTCCTTACCCTCCTCCTTCCTTTTCTGTTCTCCTTCCTTTTATTATCTCCTTCCTTTTGTTATCCCCTTCCTCTTTGGATGCAGGCCAATCCAGCATCCAGCATTCCTCCCTCCTTCCTGTCAGGGGTCCTGGCTTTGGAAGATGGCACTCGAGGAAGGGCTTGGAGTGCTTTTTTACTATCGCGGGCCCTTTGAAGATCGCGAGAACCTGGCCTCACAGTGGGAAGTCTGGCCGCTGCAGGACCCAACGAAGATCTGTAGGGGGCGCAGGTGCCCGGGTAGAAGTGCAGCGTGTAGCCTCCCACTCGGAGGAGCACCCTGAACTGTCAGAGACTGGCCACCAGGTTCTGGCGGCAAGGAACCCAGCTGCAGATCCCTGGGCGTGAATTGGTGCCGATGTGGCTCGGTGGTGGGGACCGGTAGCAAGGGCGCCCGACACGGAGCGCAGTCATCGGAGGTGGACAGACCTCCTACCTTGACACGTCGATTAACGAATTGGCTGTTTTCGGTTCGCGAGAGGGCGTCGCAGCCGTCATTTTTGCGGGTCCAGGTCCGTCGGTTTCGGTCCCAGGCCGTTTTCACTAAGGGGAGGTTTACTAAAGGGAGGTTTGTCCACCGCCGAAGTCGTCGTGCTTTCACCAGGGACGCCAAATATGGAGCGGAGGGATATTCTGGCCACGGCAAGCCTCGGCTTCGAAGGGGCTGCCCGACCCAGCTCGAAGGAGCGGTCCGGAGACCTGGGCCCCTCCAGGGCCCGGAGCGGTTGTCGTTGTTGCACGAGTCCGCCCGCTTCATCCTTCGCAGCGGAAGCCATGGCCTTAGAGTTAAGTCGGGCCTGTCCCCCTACAGCGGGATTTTCGACGAAAAATGAAAATATTCAAAAATACCCCAGAAAGGCCAAACAATATTCTAAAAAATTAGTCCCCAGACTATTTCTGGACTATTCTTGGGTTATCTTTTGGGTATTTTTATTATTCGTCGAAAATCCCCCTGTAGGGGGACAGGCCCGACTTAACCTTAGAAGTCGCAGTCCGCTTGATACCCCGGCGGATACAGCAGGATGCCATTGCACAGCGCGGCAGAGTTCAGCCCATATTTCTTTATGTTTTTCAACATTTGCGTAGTGGCCTGTCACGGTGTGGCTGGAGGCGTCCGAAGGAAAGAACGAAGTGGCCATCGTTTCGGCATCTTGACTGCACGTACAGCGTCGTCTCCCATGGTGCGCAAGGGCGGGCAGCGAAAGCCCCGTCAGAGCTCGGCGAGGGCGCAGGGGGTTTGGGCGCGGCGAGGCGGGGATTTGGTCGAGAAGCCTGCGCGTGTGACCCATCCTGCGAAGGCCATATTCCCAGATCATCGCTTGAGGAACACTCCTGGGGTCACCCCGTGGATCTGTCCGGCTCCGGTTCGAGTTGGACTTGATATAGGTAGATTTCTGCTCGAGCCAAGCTCGACTCGAGGCAGTGGCCGGTCGGCGCAGCCTCGGCGCGCGAGTGGAGCGAGTGGCCCCCGGTAAGCCCCCAGAGCAAGCATCTAAACCCTCCTGTCAGCACACGAGCTTCAGAAATGTAGCGTTAGGTCGGGCCTGTCCCTCTACAGAAGGAATATTCAAACATAGTAAAGAAATAGTCAGGGGACGATTGTTTGACCATTTTTGCCCATGTGGGGGTATGTTTGGAGTGTTTCTTTATTTTTCGTCGAACATCCCCCTGTAGGGGGACACGCCCGACTCAAGTGTAGCGGCTGCACTTATAGTGGGTGTGATGTCAGGTGAATCGGTGGTTAGGGCTTCGCTTCCAGGCGGTGCCCACCAGTCTCACGAGCACTCCTGCAGAGATGCAGACGGACCAGGACGCGTTCGAGCACCCGATGCAGGTACATGCGGAGCTGGCTTCCACGATGAAGCCGTCGAGGTCGCCGTGGGCAACATGAGATGTGGCGACGCAAGCCCTCGATGCCGTTTGGCTCGGGATGTGCCAGATTCTTATGGTTTCGACAGGACTTGGCTCCAGATTCGACCACGCCATGACCACGGAGTGTGTGGAAACTGCCGCTTCCCCCGCCTTCGCCGAGCTTGACAGGACGTACCTAGGCCGCCCGCGTGGCACTTCACCTCTTTTCCTTCCCATTCCCATCGTTGTCGTTCTAATGCCCATCTCTGCCTTCCCTCTCCACCACTTGCATGTGGCGCGTCGCTGCTCCCGGGGCGCGCCGGCAGGGCAGGAAGTCTCCGGGAGGAGGAGGAGGAGGAGGAGGAGGAGGAGGAGGAGGAGGAGGAGGAGGAGGAATGAGGAATGAGGAATGCGGAGGAGGAGGAGGAGGAGGGGATGGAGGAGGAGGAAGGAAGGAAGGAAGGGAATGGAGGGGAGAAGAGGAGGAGGAGGAAGGAAGGGAAGGGAAGGGAAGGGTGAGTTCGGATTTCGGGAGGCAGCCACTCGGTGAGTTAGTTACAGCGGAGTTGGGCGGAGGAGAGACTGTCACGGCGGTGAAGTTGTTGACGGCTGGTGCAGGGCAGGAGCTGGCTGGGGAGAAGAGTGGCGACCCACCCAGAAGGCTGAATCTCTTCTTGAACACGTCGTTCTCCAGGTCAGGCGACGCCTGCTACAAGTGCGCCGACCTGAAGGTCCGCAGCCACAGAGGGGCGACTGCGGCTGGGATTTGGGAGCCGACAGAATAGGGTGGATCACCAGTTCTAGGCTGCACTTGTGTCCCTGTTTCTTCGGCCCCTTCTCAGCCCGGGAGCGTATGGCCCAGGGGTCCAGGCCACGGCCAGGGCAGGAGAGGGGCTTGGACGGGGAGATGTGGGCGAGAGCGGAGTGAGGAGGCAGGGGCTGGGGATCCCGAGAGGGGAGGATGGGGGCAGGCGGCGAGAGGGACGGAAGCTCCCGGCGCCGCTGCCCCCCCCCCTCCGATCACTCTCCCTGGCGCCCCTCAGCACCGGCGGCGTCAACATCCCAGGAGGCGCCTCGAGGCTCCTGCGGTCCCCGCGAGTCGCTCGAGGCTCTCAGAGAGGCCGCGGGATGCTCAGGCAGGGGCCGACACGCCCAAGAGAGCCTCCGTCCTCCGCCTCCTCCGCCAGGGAGCACCCAGCACCGAGCACGTGCTGCATACTCGGTTCGGACGTGCGGTTCCAGGGGGGGGGGGGCGCGTAGTGCTAGTATGCCCCTCTTCGTCCCATCCTTCTCCTCCTGCTCCTGCTCCTCCTCCTCCTCTTCCTCCTCTTCCTCCTCCACCCGCAGAGGTTGCCCCGCAGCGGTTTTGTCCGCCTGGCGAGCCAGCGCCGTCCCTTGGACGGCGAGGGAACGACCCCTTGGCGCTTCCTCCTCCTTGTCGTCTCTTTCTTCTCCCTGGAACTCCGAGGTCGTGAAATTACAGCGGAGACCCATGCCAAGAAACACCCTGCTTGCCTCCAGGGTGCTCTGGGTTTCTTGGGTTTCGATGGTTTTGCTATGGAGAGCGCGACTCACCCACGCCAAAATTCAATGGACGTCCTGGGATCTCAGGGTTGGGTTTCTTGTGGCAGGGTTTTTGTGGAATGGCCTCCACTAGTCGACGCGAGGATCTTCATGTGTGTGCTTCTTTCTACTTGCTCGCGCTTGACATCGTGAGTGTCTCAGCATGAATGAGTGTGAGTGTGAACGAGTCTGGGTATGAGCCGCTGGACAAATGCGAGTCGGATTCAGTATATGGTTGATAAAGTGTGAGTGGGTCTGAGCTTGAACCAGTTCGAACTACGTGGGTCTAGCTACAAATGAACTTGGATGTTGGCGGGTCTGAGTATGTGTGGGCTTGGGAGCGACGGAGTCTGAGTATGAGTGGGCTTGGTTGTAATTGGGTGTGAGCACGACTGGCTCAGCATGAGCGGCTCAATGCGAGTCGGTATCATTCGGCCTCCTGGGGCGTCCTGGGCTCTCACGGACTCCCCTGTACCCCTCAGAGCTTCCTGGATCTTCCGAGCAGGCGGCAGAGCGGTCGGCGAGGCTGAGCGCGCACGGGCAGGTGCAATACCTCTGGCGGCCTCCTCCTCCTCCTCCTCCTTCCTCCTCCTCCTCCTTCCTCCTCCTCCTCCTTCCTCCTCCTCCTCCTTCCTCCTCATCTTTCTCCTCCTGCTGCTGCTCTTCTAGGGGGGGAGGCGGGAGTCGAGCGGGCGGCGGCGGCGGGAGTTGCCACGGCGGCACCGACGAGGGGGACGAGGGACGAGAACGGACCCGCGCCCAGACCCCCGACGTCGCGATTCGCTCATGACGTCGACCCACGGGGAGGGACCGCGCTTTCATCCCGAGTCGTTTTTGCTGACGGCCCCGAGGCCCGGCGCAGGGCCCCCCCAGATGCCGCACATCGAAAGTGGCGAGGAGCCTCGCGTCCAGATGGGTTTCACTGCTCGAGGGGATCCGGGCGCAGCGCCCGTGGTCGGCTCCCTCTCGGGGGTGCCCAGGTGCTGTGCGCCTGCTGCCTCGCGGTGCAACACGGCTGCCTCGTTCCAGGCATCCCCACAGTCCGAGAGCGCACGGGCCCGTGATAGGACCCCCCTGGTGGTTCCACCTCGGGGTGCCCCAGGGCACGGCCTGCTGCAACGCGGAAAATCAATCGATGTCAATGGATGTGAATGGATGTCAACGGATGTGAAATTGCGGTCGAGTATGAGCGTATCTGAGTGTGAGTGCGTCTGAGTGCGATTATCAGCGGGTCTGAGACATAGAGGGGTCTGTGCATGAGTGAAGCTAAGTAGGAGTGGGTCTGAGTATGAGAAGTCTGAGTATGAGTGAGTCTGAGTCTGAGTCAGAGGAGGGGAAGAGGAGGCGGGTGAGCGCAGGAGAAGGTGGGTAGTGAGGACGCGGAGGCGTCTGACTAATAGCAACAACGTATGGGGGCGATCCATTCGCGACGGCCCACCGATCATCCGATCAATGTCCCACAAGTATCTCGGGAAGCGTCTTGAGAACGAGGGCACGTAGCACTCAAAGTAAGCAACGTATGAGCGAGATTGTTCACATTACCTTAATTTGCAAGCTTAGTTCGTTCTACAGGGTGGGCGGGTGGAGCAACAGGAGTACGACAGCCCAAGGAAGGCCTCTAGACGACCTCTTCGGAGGTCAGTTCCTCCGCCGACAATCCGAATCCCAGATTTCAACTCGCTTGGGCTCTCCTGCGGGATCCTGTTGGAATGGATTCGGATCTTGGTGGGCTGCCGCACTGACGGGTCCCGGGGCATGAAATCACTTCAGCGGGGGGGTCGATAATTGCCTCTGAGGGTTGGTCATGTCTGCTGCTAAATGAATGTTCATGAGACGTGCTTCTCCCCTTCCATCTCCCTTTCTCCTTCCCACCCTCACTCCTCCTCCCTTCGCGCATCCTGACCCCTTTTTCCCGCGTCATACCTCCTCCTTCTCCTTATCCGCTCACTCGCTTCATGTCCGCCTCTCTCTCTCTTTCTCACTGCTGCAAATCACTCCCTCTGCCCTCCTCCCTCCCTTCTCCCCTCTGCTCCCTCCAGTCTCACTTCTCCCTCCTTCCTCCTCCTCTTCCCCCCCACCTCCCTCCCCACCCCTCCCCACCCCTCCACTCCCCTCCCCTCCCGCCCTCCCTCCCTATCCTCCTCCTCCTCCTCCTCCTCCTCCTCCTCCTCCTCCTTATCCTCCTCCTCCTCCTCCTCCTCCTCCTCTTCCTCTTCCTCTTCCCTCCCTCCCTATCCTCCTGCCCATCCCGCCTTCTCCCTCCTCCTCCTCCTCCTTTGGCCTCCTCTTCCTCCCCCTTCTGCTGGTCCTCCTCCTCCTCCTCCGTTTTCCTCCTCCTCCTGGCGCAGCCTCCACGTTCGCTATGTGTGCCCTGTCGGTCAGGCCACCAACTCTCCTTTATGAGGCCGCTCGGTGCCGCCCCGCCGCTCCCCCCCTCCCCCTTTCCCCGCCCCCCCTTCTGCAGGGGCCGAGGCAGGAGACGGGGGAGGCTCGGCCCGTGCGAGAGCGAACCGTCTTGTCATCGGTCGGGCGTGTGCAGCTTTTCTCGGCGAAACATGCACGCACGACATCGGACATTGAAAGAGGAAGGGAGGGGGGGGAGGGAGGAGGGAGGAGGAGGAGGAGGAGGAGGAGGAGGGAGGCGGGAGGAGGGAGGAGGGAGGGAGGAGGGAGGAGGAGGGAGGAGGAGAGGAGGAGGAGGAGGAGGAAGAGAGGAGGAGGCGGAGGGAGGAGGGAGGAGGAGGGAGGAGGAGGAGGAGGAGGAGGGGAGGAGGAGGAGGAGGAGGAGGAGGAGGAGGAGGAGGAGGAGGAGGAGGAGGAGCAGGAGCAGGAGGAGGAGGAGGTGGAGGACGAGGAGGAGGAGGAGACGGAGGAGGAGGAGGAGGAGGAGGAAGAGGAGGAGGAGGAGGAGGTGGAGGAGGAGGAGGAGGAGGCGGAGGAGGCGGAGGTGGATGCAGAGGCGGACGAGGAGGAGGAGGAGGAGGAGGAGGACGAATAAGTAGAAGAAGAAGAGACATACGACGAAAACGACCAATAATACTAGTAAGACTAAGAATAAGAATAATACGACGCAGACGAGGAAAACGCATACGAATCCTAATACTACTACGCGTACTAACAGTAATACCAAGAAACATACGACTCGTACGACTAGCACGAATAATATCATCAGAAAACGACTAATACATACGAACACTAATAAAGATACTAATGACCATTGTAGTACTGGTTATATTAAGGATACGGATACTAATACTGCGGACCATACTACTAATACTAAGAAGCCGTCTAAGACGAACACTCGTATTAAGCAGACTACGTATTATACTACTAATGATAGTACGACGAAGACTCAAACGACGACTAATCATACTACTAATACGCAGAAGACTACGACTACGACTACTACTACTACTACTACTACTACTACTACTACTACTACTACTACTACTACTACTACTATTAAAAAATAATATGGAGACTACTACGATGACGACTCATACAACTAAGAAAACCATACGACTACGACGAGCACGAACACGACTACAACGAATACACACACCGTGATTATTCATACCAGTACTGATACTACGAAGCCGACGACTAACCCTACGACTAATAAGACGAAGAGGAGGATGAGGAGGAGGGGGAGGAGGAGGGGGAAGATGAGGAGGGGGATGCGGAGGAGGCGGAGGAGGAGGATGAGGAGACAGAGGAGGAGGATGAGGGAGATGGGGATGAGGAGGAGGAGGAGGAGGAGGAGGAGGGCAGATGCTGATGGTGATGATGATGATGCTGATGATGATGGTGCTGCTGATGATGTTGATGATGATGATGATGATGATGTCGATGTTGATGATGATGATGCTGATGATGATGATGATGATGATGATGATGATGATGATGACGATGATGATGATTATGATGATGATGAGGATGATGATTATGATGATGATGAGGATGATGTTGATGATGATGATGGTGGTGATGATGATGCTGCTG